GACTCAACGCAGGTAGTCCAATAAGAAGTGCAATTTTGCACTGAGCCACGCCAACGGATGTGGTCGATTTGAACGTTCTACCTACTCTTCGATTTCCGATGGGCTTCCGTGGAGGTTCAATGGTTCAATGGCAGGAATCTCCAATGCGTGACGTCAAATTGTGGTAATCGGAATAGTACTGGATGTAGAAATACAAGAATCCGTACTGTACTGTTCAGAACTGAATTGGCTCCAACCCGAACTGCGGACACCAATGAAATACCGTCCTCTAATCATGTAACCGTTTGCACCGACGCATCATATGTACTAACTCGGATGTCATGTTCGCCCGGTGTACCACTGATGGAGTTTCCTGAACGGTGATTGGATGACATGAAACTGTACCTAGTCGTGCATGGATTGCGGTCACGGAAGTCTGGATCACTAAAATCTTCCTACGTCATCCACAAAAATCGCAACCTCCGGCGGCTTTTCAGTCGTTTTGGTCTCCCCTAAACTCTAGTTAGCGACAACGGCACTCAGTTCACGTCGCGACAATTTATGGAATCCTAGAATCAGAGCGGCATTGATCACATTCACTCCTCACCTTTTCATCCGCAATCTAACGGCCAAGTGAAGATATTTGTGGATACCTTCAAGCGGGCACTCGAGTAGTCAAAATGGGAGGGAGCAACCGCAGAAATCATTGAAAGGTTTCTGTTTCTATCGGTGCACTCCACATCCGAACTCGCCAAAAGGAGTTTCCCGGCAGAGGTTTTGATGAACCGAAAGTTACGAATGCTGTTTTATCTATTGCGACCAACCACCTACAACACTGAAAGGAACCAAAATATGGAATAGAAATTCAATCGGCGACACGGAGCCTTGCAACATTCCTTCACTCTAAACCAAGCAGTGTTAGTACGACATTTTGGAAGAGACGGTTCTCGCTGGTTACCTGGCTGAATTCTACGAAGACGAGGAGCTGTATGGTATGAGGTACAAGTACAGTCTAAAGTCTGGTTGCGTCACACAAATCATATAAGACCAACGCAATGCCACGAAGAAAGGACTCAAATTCCACAACTACCCTTTGACATGCCGTTGGAAACCTTCAGTACGCCGACAGCACCACAGCCAAGTGAATTACAGCAGCAACCACCAATTTGCCAAGCCGACGTACAAACAGAAATCGGACTCAAACCACAAGACTGTAAATCAACCCCAAATTGGGAACGTACATCTCAAAAAGGGAGGTGTTAGGACGGAGCGCACAGAATCCGTCCTGCCACGCATCGACCCGCGTTGCACCACAAGTGCGCTCGTGACGACCAAGCTGAATCGACCCCTGATTGGATGACTAAGGCGAATCAAATAGCTGTCGTCCGATCGATCAACCTGAGTGTCAAGGTCGCGATCTGATTGGTGCATCATCACGTCTCTTCTCATACGCCCAATTTACCACATATTTGCGTGTTGCTTAATGATCAACAATGCACTCTGACTGTCGTTTCTCAGCCGTGTTCTTCCTCCAATTGTTGGGGCCTAGACATAGAGGCGCAAGTATCGATCATTTGTCTTAACGTATGACATAACAATAACTGAACATGAAACAATCACCAGCGAGAGAGTAAAAGAGCCATGTAATCAAAACACAAGGAGATATACTGATGCGTGTGCTTGTCTGCTTACAGTCAGGCTTATATAAAATGAAAGGGCTAAACTCCGACACAAATGATGAAAAGTGGAGTATGCGGGAATCGTAGGCACGAACAATGAAGTGCTTTATGATGTTGAACACTATTCAGGCAATTTCGGAAGACAGCTTTGCGATCACTTCGAGAGAATATGAATGACTCGAACAATAAGAAGCACTTTGGTTGGTTTATGCCGTTTGCGTTTTTTGCGTTTTGAAGGATTAGGTGTATGAAAAGCAGGAAAACAATAAGCAAAACCCGCACGCAAAAGAAGCAGTTCAGTGGTTGTGCAAGCATGGGTCGCAAGGTGATGATTAAGCAACAAACATGTGTGGTGATCATGCAAAGTGAAAGGACGGTACCAATCGTGTTCCGCCATGTAGCTTTGGACCGCCAACCAGGACGCAGGTAGCTAGACCAATCTGGTGGTCCCATGCATATGCAATTTGATTGGCTGAAAGCTGGAAGCTAACA